AGCACAACAAGAAGTTCACCACCAATGTCTTTCAGCTCTATATGATCTGATAGCACATCAAGAAGTTCACCACCAATGTCTTTCAGCTCTATATGATCTGATAGCACATCAAGAAGTTCACCACCAATGTCTTTCAGCTCTATATGATCTGATAGCACATCAAGAAGTTCACCACCAATGTCTTTCAGCTCTATATGATCTGATAGCACATCAAGAAGTTCACCACCAATGTCTTTCAGCTCTATATGATCTGATAGCACATCAAGAAGTTCACCACCAATGTCTTTCAGCTCTATATGATCTGATAGCACATCAAGAAGTTCACCACCAATGTCTTTCAGCTCTATATGATCTGATAGCACATCAAGAAGTTCACCACCAATGTCTTTCAGCTCTATATGATCTGATAGCACATCAAGAAGTTCACCACCAATGTCTTTCAGCTCTATATGATCTGATAGCACATCAAGAAGTTCACCACCAATGTCTTTCAGCTCTATATGATCTGATAGCACATCAAGAAGTTCACCACCAATGTCTTTCAGCTCTATATGATCTGATAGCACATCAAGAAGTTCACCACCAATGTCTTTCAGCCCTATATGATCTGATAGCACATCAAGAAGTTCACCACCAATGTCTTTCAGCTCTATATGATCTGACAGCACAACAAGAAGTTCACCACCAATGTCTTTCAGCTCTATATTATCTGACAGCACAACAAGAAGTTCACCACCAATGTCTTTCAACTCTATATGATCTGACAGCACAACAAGAAGTTCACCTCCAATGTCTTTCAACTCTATATGATATGATAGCATAACAAGAAGTTCACCGTATATGTCTTTTAAACACAAGAATAGAACAAAATAGTTGGCATAATTATAAGTGGCTGAAGCTTGTAGAAGAACTGCTTAAGCCTCTATTAAAATATCTCGATACTACGTGTTCGCCTTGAGATTTACGAGGGGCGCACTTTCGCATTTGCTGGTCCAACAATTTGTAACCCCCTTCCTATCGCTCTCAGAAACAGCCAGACACTGGAGTCTTTCAAAACTGATTTGAAGACTTATCTATTTCGCAAACACCTGCTGGGGTGATGTTGTCTATCTAGCTATTATCTTGTAGATGTATATTGGTCTGTGTTGTTTATTGTTGCAAGGTATGAAAGACTTGGAATGGGTATTCCCGTGTCACGTCATTTGTGTGTCACCTTATTTCACTGTCATTTCATTTGAGTGTCACGTCATTTGAGTGTCACGTCATTTGAGTGTCACGTCATTTGAGTGTCA